TTGGCGTCACCCCACCTAAGCCCATCCCACTAACCCTCCTTCCCTTTTCATAAAAAGACCGAGACGCTCCTTTAGAGTTACTGCAGGAGGTCCCACCCAGAACCCCAAATCTGGCCTGGCACTGCTTTCTTTACTGGACCATCACCACTTACCTAACATACATCCTAAGCATCAGCATGCTGATGAGGTATGAAAGAAGCAAAGTGAGGGAGCTAAGAGAACTCTCCAGTCTGGGGCCACAAATAAAGAAACAAATGAACAAAAGAACAGCTTTGAAGGGTAAACATTCCTATCCGTGAGAGAGTTTATTTAAACACAGACCTGAGCTTAATTTCTGGAAGGAAAGAAAGAGAGCAAACTATGGAAATCTTTTTTCGCTTTCATTTTAAATAGTGAATGAGTATAATGATCTGGACTCATTGTTGAAGCTAGAGTGCTCTGTATTTATAGGGAAACAAAGACTTTGACAACAGAGTAGAGGGACTCATTGAGACAATGACATTTAAGGACTAAGTGGAAGAAAAAGAGACCAAAAAAAAATAGCTATAGGGATGCGTAGGTTTGTCATTCCAGGAAAGAAAATGGGATTGTGTTTTGTTTATGTTCATTTGCTGAGGAGATATGAAACATAGTTGCTGAGGCCCTGCTGTCCTAGAGTCTCCTTTCAGTGATCTGAGATGAGGCCTGGTCCATACTTTTAAATGCTTCCCTAGTTATTCTGGTAGGGGAGCAAACTATTAGACTGCAAGTTTGTTGTGATATCTAAAAGAGAAAAAAAACGAGAAATGAGTTTCTTCCTAAGAAGATACAAACAATTCACGGTGAAAAAATGTTTAGTGTCTGTAGTCGATCCAGAGTTTTATTGTCATACGGTGTTTCACTGTGGTGTCCTGAGTCAGAATAAGCTAACGATAATCATAAGAAGCAGTCTAAACCTAGGTAGAAGCAAAGTTTCTGGTGGCAAGTTATATATTTACATATAGTTATAAATTATTTGTAGAAAGAATTAAGGAATTTTCAGAGTTTAGCTAGGTTCTACACAATAAATTCTATTCGTTGGCTATTTTTGTCATACCAAAAAGGGCTTGCTTAGGATACTAACAGCTCTTTGACCCTAAATGAAAACTCTTCGTCCAATTTTCTTTCAAACTATTTTTTTGGAAAACTGGATTGTATCTTTCATTAGAGAGGCTTTGAGTTGGTAAAGCCCCACTATTTTGAATTCCATGTAGCCATCAAAGACTTGTGCAGGTCAGGCAATTGAAGGTATATTTGAAGAACTCATAAAGTAGTGCACAAATAGTTGATACATTAATACCACTGCACACTTCAATATAATTACATATATAATTCAGATTTTACTTTCAAATAATATATTGTTATGTGCTGAATAAAAGACATTTATACAAAAGCAAGAAAGGGATTTCTTAAGGATGTATAGACCAATTGTTGGAAATAGTGGAGTAAAAGAGGGCAATTTAAATTATACTTTGTTTATTTCCTCTTGTATAAGGATGTCTTACCATGAAAAAAATGTGACAGTCCAAATTTTGGATTACTATGTCTTTGTATTTTTAACAGTATTGCCCTCTAATACATTTACTTGATGAATATTTTTTCAGGTGTGAAAAGTGCTATCTATGAGACATTTTATGGATTTAAATTTGTAGGTTAAAACTTACAATAGATGGTGAAAAAATAATAAACCACTGCAGGAGCTTTGTATGTTTTAACTTAAACCTTATAAAAATTCTACAAGGTAGGTACAGTTGTCATCCCCACTTTGTAGATGTAGATTGTAAGATTTAGAACACGGAGTCATGTAGATCTACAGTAGAATTATCACTAACCCATGCAGTCTGACTCTGTAGCTCTTGATCTTCACCTTGTGCTATCAAATGGTGTGTGGAAAAACAACAGCAAGTGCTCTGCTGCTGAGCTCTACCCTCTCAGCCCCAAACCACAAATGTTTTCAAAAGGCTCCCAAAGTTATGCTAACCATTCTACAGTGAAGACATGCAACAAAGCCAGTATCTCCAAGCTGCTTACAATGAAAGCAGAACTAGAAGACAGACCAAATTACTGGGTAATTGATTATTAAAGTATGAGACTTACTACAAAGCAATGCAAGTTATATCATGAGACAGAGTAGTCTGAAGATCTTCATGAAAGAGGTATAAAGTGAATGGACATTGGGAGATGGATGTAAGTTTGAGCTTTTGAAATATTTGGGGTGTAGTTATAGCTTAGGAAGCAAAGGCAAAGATGTCAGGTTTTGAATATTTTTTCCTAATAGTGCAATTTGCTATTTTAGTAACCTTGTTTTAGCATTAAAAGTGTTAGAACTGGCCTCCTAATTGGCTTGACTGAGTTACAAGGACTGGAGTAGCTGGTCTGAGGCTGGAGACGTAGTTCACTCAGCATGCATGAGGCCTTGGGTTGATCCCAAGCATCATTTTAAAAAAGAGCGTCTGGAAAGAGGTGTGGGCTGGGCTCCTCTGGGGAACTGGCACAGGGCCGGCAGGAAGGACCCTACTGATACCCTCTGGTCAGGGCAGCACTGCTGTAGTGAGTAAACGGCTTGTCTGTATGCTCTAAATACAAATCCAAAGCCCAGGGATGCGTTTTCCCCTAACTTGGTGCATTAGCCTTGTTCTCGAACAGGGCCTGCTGGAGGGTTCTCCAGGAGCCTTTCTCTTCAGTGGCAGGGCGATGGCCACAATTTGCTGCCTCTGCGTTTCTCACAAAGATGAAAAATAGATCCTTCCTGGAGAAAAACCACACCTACTCCTTACACTGAAAATCTCTTATATTCTTTTTCAGAGGGCCAGGCAGCTGTCTGTAGAAAACTGTATCATTAGGATTTCTAAGATAAAGGTCTAAAGACAGCATCTTAATTGGTCATTAGGAAAAAAATTCTCCGCAGACAACTGTTATGTAAAAGCTTTCATGAAATTTCAGTATATTTTTTCATTTTGTGAGGTATAAAAGTTTTCAGACAGATTATAAATTAGAAATTGCTCAATTACTTATTAACTGATTTCTCCCAGTGTCATTTTTGACATTGAAGTTATTGAAAACTCCCATCAAAAGAGGGAGTGCGTAAAACAGAAAAATAACTAAAAGTACCAAAAATAATGGTAGTTTTTCTAATTAACCAATAATCTTTGTTTCTGCTTTATATGATTTTTCCATAAATATTTAAGTATTTGGAAAGATTTACTGTTTTCATTGTAAATCACTGAACTGTCTTACAATTATTTTTTAAATCTTCACTTTTCCCACTGAAATGGAATTGTGGGAACTAGCCAAAAACAGTATTTTAAGGGAATGCATTGTCACTGACTTGCCTGCTTCACTTTCCATATTCCATTCTGAGAGAGAACATAGTGTTTTCTCCAGATAGTGTTCCTATTTAAAGATAGTGGGACAAATATTTTTTAAAATTAGCTTCATTGGTACATTTTAGATATACAGATGGATCACATTCATCATAGGGGATTTGTACCTGTACGTGATAGCACTGGATTATTTTTTCCCCAACCCCCTCCCCTCCCTTCAACCCCTCTTCCCCTCCTTATTTACAAAAGCTTTGTTTCTATTTTTTCCCTTGTTGTTTTTTTCTTGTCCTTTCCTTCCTTTTTCTCTCCCCCATCCTTTGTTCCCCTTCCTATTTGAACATTCTTTTCCCATTTCCTAATATCTGTGATACATTTTGGTCCTTGGGACAAATGTTTTTTAACATACATCGATGCCATGTCCAATCTGAAATACTCACCAGCAGCCTGTTAGAGATGAAATGTGGGACCCTTAGGATCATCGTTAATAGAAGAGTGTGCAGGCTGGCTTTCTTTTGGAAAGGATTATCCTGCCAGCACCTCATACTTTATTTTTGTTTTTTGTTTTTTTTTTTTTTTGGTTTTTCTCTGGTACCGGGAACCGAACTCACGACTTCGCGCTTGCCAGGCAGGCGCTTTTGCCGCTGAGCTAAATCCCCAGCCCCACCTCATACTTTATTTAGGATGTTTGAGAAGTAGCATGAGGACTTCTGTTTTGTTTTCATTCTTATCTATAACAACTTCTCACAAAAAATGTAAACTATTACATACAAAATAAAACATTTTTAAAAAGAATTTTTTAAAATTTTCTTTAACCATCAAATCAAACATTGAGTTAATTTCCTGACAATGATCAGATGGCAAAATAATCCTTTTACAAGTTGTTATTAACAAAATTTTATAAACGCTAAAGCTATGAATTGTTAGAATGGCCCCATTCTCTAGTTGAAATATTTCCAGTGGATCAGTGCATTGTCATTGATTTAATCATCTTCATAATGACTTGCTAGTGATCACTTCTATCAAAAAGAGCTATAGGGATCCCATGGATTTCTAAATATTCTTCTGCATTTCTTATTCTTTTTTGAGACAAGGTCTCACTTCGTAGTTCAGGCTGGCCTCAAACTCACAGCAGTCCTCCTGCCTCAGCCTCCCAAGTACTGGGATTACAGGCATGTGCCATCACCATGCCCAGCATTCTTTTTAAACATTTTTGAATTGCTTTTTTAAAAGTTTCATTACTTTTATAGGTTGTTTCTAAATTTTGAAGCTAAAAAAACCACACACATGGAATCTTTACTTTCTCTTCTATTTTAACTGCCATTTGATAGCCTGTATTTTCCAGGTATCACCATTTTTTTTTTAGTTAAAATGTAAAAATACTGCTTGGACTGTGTAGTCTTTAGAATTACTCTCTGTGGAACCATTGGGAAGGTTGAACATTAACAGTAGAAATCTGTTGTCGACAGTAGAGAAAAATGAAAGGCACAGATTGCATGAGAAAAGAGTGGTAGTCCCAGCCAGCTTTGCTGCAGTTTGTTCACAGCCTGCTGACATGCCGTTTTTACAGTGTTACTGGGGGGGGCCTAAACTGATGCCATTAGGTTCCTTGCCATTGTAGAACAGTGAAGACAAAAGCACTCACCATCTTAATATCCACAGGACTGTGTTAAAGAATAATGATTTAAGATCAAGACAAGAGTTAACTGCCCACCTCACCAACCAGTGGCCTTCCCCAGGAGCTCTGGATGCCAGTGCTGTTGCCTTGGATACGTTGCTTTACCGAAAACACAATAAACAGTGGTATGAGTAAGTGTGATACTTTTCTTTCCGACTAATTACAAATTCACTTGTCCCAAAACAAGTGGCAGTCCACAGTGTTGTCTCAGTTACTCTTCTGGCTTTATCAGACAAAGGTAGATTTAGGACTACTTTGGTAAGGTTACATTAAAACAAAATATGTTAACATTTTTGAAGCCAAGGCACTCTGGGGAAGTAAAATATCTGAGAGATTCTTACGCAGTATTACCGTACCAGCCAGTCTTTCCATGATCTATAGGAGCTTGTATCTAATGAGCTGCTTACTTTTCAACTCTAGCTTTGGTGTTATATTTGCCTAGAATCAGTTTTCTTCATTGTCAGGAAAACATTAAATGCCAACTCATGAAAGGATGAAAGGTACACACTTGTTCTTTGTGATGTAAAAGAGTTCTGTTCACTCTCAATAAAGCTAATTTTTAGAGAGTATGGTATATATATAATCACTCCGCCTATGTGTGTAGACCCTTTTGCTGTTTCTTTGTCTGATGTTCAGGAATATTCATTAGTTATAGTGCCTCAATGTTGAGTGAGCTGCAAAATCTTCTCTTAGGTATTTTGATATTAACAGATCGACTTTGCACCTTCTTTTGACTTCTGCATCATGATTTGTTTTCGCTATATTTTTCTGTCTTCAGCTAATGTTTTTCATGGTGCCCTTTCCTCCTGTCCTCTTCTGTTTGGTTCCCTGTCCGTCTCCCTTTTGTCTCTTTCCCTCCCTTTGTGGCTTCTTTCTGGCCTTTTTCCTCTCTTCCTCGTCCGCCCTCTTTTTCTTCTCTTCTATAAGAGCCCTTGTTTTTAGATTTCGCTTGCACCTGTGCTTTTAGGGTGCCTTTCACAGGTAGCCAGTACCCATTTATCTAAGGGATGCTTCGGGCAGTGCTTTCGCTGTTTATCAGAAGTAGAATTCAAAGTAAGTTTGGCCTTTTATTGCTGACAGTTGATAGGGACTTTAGTGCTTTTACTTGTTTCGTTGATTATTAGAAGTAAGCAAATCATTTGTGGAATAAATCAGTGGTACGCTTCAAGTGCTGACTCATGTTTCTTCATGTAATTCAAAGTGTTGACTTTGGATGGGATCTAGTTCTTTATATACGCTTAGGAAGTTTTTGAATATTAGAATATGTTTCACTGTACTTTTGTGTCATGGTAATAGAGAATATTTTTATTTCTAAATTATGATTGAAAAATAGACTTTATAGTAATACTTGATGTACTTTACAGTGGTATCTTGGTTTGTGAACGCTTTTGTTTGCAAATAATTTGGTTCATAAGCAGAAGCATTTGGCAAAATGTTTTTGTTTGAAATTCTGCATAGGGTGACAACACAACCACAGCCATCTTTCTCAAACAAACGTGAACTTGGTCATCTTTTCCAAACTCATAGAACAAATGAAGTTTGTAAACCAAGGCATCACTCTCCATGTAAAAAACATGAGATGCTCATGCTTTAACTACGAAAACATTGTAACAACATTAAATCTTGGTAAGGTAAAGCACTGTGCCTTTTCAATTGCAGTATCCACATTGTCATCTGAGGTAGCCACAAGACGTGAACCCTTGCCTGCCTACAAAATTACCTATCAAGGAGCCAGAAAAGAGCCTAAAGTGGAAAATTTCTTTCTGGTTTGCCCCTCCGTGTGTGCAATAATGACTGATTTTTATGAAGTTGTGTAACAGCAGCAGTAGTAGTTGCAATCTCAGAAACCAAGCAGGGAAACTACTTGTTCTGTTGAGCATACATCCAGATTTTATGCTTGATTGAGTGACTCCCTTAGCTTAAAAAGGGATATGTCTTCCTGTCTTAGCATTCCTCTTTAATGTGACTGTCAGAAAAGGTTCAGAGAATTCTGCCCAGCAGTAGAAGCAACAAGCTTTTCTAGACAGACAGGGAAGCAAGGTAGAGGAATCATCTGAGCACTGCAGCTAAAGCATCAGCCGTATTTGGGCAGAGTGGAGAAGCATTTATCTTACTTAGGCATGTTGTGATCAGTTGGCCGCCTGTAACTGGCTGAAGGTTGGCTCCTTGCTACAAAAAATACGTTCCTAAACCAGGTTTCAATTTGTTCATGTACTGTTGTTACAGTGTGTTCTAGGAACTCAGAAAAGTGATACAGCTCTATATTAGTGGCCTCCTGCTTGTTTGAATGTACTCTGCTGTTTAATGGATTTATTGGTCTTTATATTTCCAAAATAGAGCTATTGGGTAATTTGGTTATATTATTGTTTGCTCAAGGAAGGATGCCTCTCAAAACAGAAGATCTGAAATCTATTTCCACTGCTATGCTGTTTATAAAATTTTAAAATATGATTTTTGATTTATTTCTTGATTGGGTAAGTCTGGCAATATTACCCATGCTGAACTTTATATCTTTTCCTTTACTTCAAATATAATAATATTCTCTTTAAAGATTAATAGAAATTATAGGCTTACAGTAAAAATTCAACAATGAGTATATAAGGTATGACCAAAATATACTGTGAATGTTTAAATTTTTTAAAAAAATTTTATAGTAAAAGGCACATTGCTATTAATTTCCCTGAAAATATTTCCCCTAGTTGTGTACACACTTAGCCTCATTTTTTGCTACTTTCTGAAGGTGTTCTGGAGGTCCTCATTCATGAGTGTGTTTACAAGCTTTGATTTTTAAAAAAAACAGTGAATGCTGCTGCTGAGCAACGTTGAAAAAAAGGCAGGCTCCTGAAAACATTATCTTATGTCCTCATCCGGATGCCTTATTCCTCTGTTCTGGCCCCATGCAAAGCCTGGCTCTCCCCCAAAGTCAAACTGACAGAAAGGTAAACATTTTCTATTTTTCAAGACTTCAAGGGGTGGGGATATAGCTCAGCAGCACAAGTGCCTGCCTGGCAAGCACAAGGTCCTGAGTTCAATTCCCGGTACATTAAAAAAAGACTTCTGGGCAGCCACAATAGTGCCAACTAAACACACAAGAAAGGACTTCCAGAACTGCTTCAGGAAGTGACAGGAATGATGGGTGTATTCAAAGTGAGGGGAGTATTTTGAAGGGGATTCATGGTAATGTGTCTTTTACTGTAATAATTTTTTAAACATTTACCGTATGTTTCAGTTAGACCATGTATAAAGCATATTTTCTTTACATAGCATAGAACAATTGCTTTTTGTTTCAAATAAGTTGTGTTCTAGTATCTTTTTTTGTATATAAAGTATAGGTAATACGAGCTCCTTAGATAATTTCATTAGATTATCTGTTAGGTAGTTAGATATCTTATTAGATTATTGCCTAACTTACCCATTCTTATCCCAAAAGATCAGATTCATTGTCCTACTTGTATTTTTTCGTTAAACTTCTTTAGACTTTTAAATTTGTTACTGGCTTTCAGTTTGGCTATGACTACCTGGGATATAGCTCAGAGGCACAGCGCCTGCCTGGCAGGCACAGTCCTAAGTTTGATTCCCAGTTCAAAAAAAAAGAAAAAGTTTGACTGTGAGTTAGGTTGTAAATTATGAGATTCATGAGCTTTTCTCTACCCTTTATGGCCTATTGCTTAGGCTTTTAGTTTGTATTCAGGACTTTTCTTTCAGATATATTAGGAGCTCTCCTTCCCCTGTGTCCTTCAATCACTTTTAGAGTAGGAGTTTCTAAAGCACTGAGGCTGCAAAAAATATTTTCGTTCGTAAATTGGGCATTGACGTAACTCACATGTATCGTTCCCTATCAGACTTTCCTTGCGTCCTTCTCTCACTTTAATAGATAAAGTAAATACAGATATTCTGCTACCACAAATGACTATTTTCTTCCTTAAATGCGTTTCTATGAAGAAAAACAAGAATAAAAATAACATTATCTCCATTTACGTGCATGTGCCACTATCTATACAGTGTGCATGTATTTGTTTTCACTTTCTCACATGGATAATATTCATATCCTTCTGTGTATCACACTCTGTTGCCTTGCACAATAACTACCAGATAATGTAAATTATTATTGACCCCAATGAATGACAAAGATTAGCCGTATTATTTCTGATCCTTAATGTAAAATATAAAATTATAAAAAATTAACCAATAAGTGGCTTCAGGCCTTTTGCGTAATTTTCTTTTAATTTGCCTTTCTTTGGTACTCAGTTTCATATATGTCAGTGTTTGTTTTTAAGTGATTTTAAAATATTTAAATAGATATTGACTACACAGTAGTGGTTTTATTATACCCCCAGTGTCCATGATTTATAACATAACTCCTACAAGCTTAATTTAAAATATATTTAACAATGTAATGGCATATAGTAAACTATAGTTTTATAGATTAGTCAGAATGTATGACTTATTATTTTGGGCTCTGATTTTGATTAAGTTAAGCTGATGTCTTAAAAATTAATGAATGAAAAAATAAAACAAAATCATAATAAAATAATAAGAATTATAGTTTATACACTGTGGATCATTATTTTCAAAGTAGTTACAGTATAAGACAGACAAAAAAATTCTTGGTTACAGAGAAGAAACAGACAGTAGCACAAGATGAGTTAAAAATTGTAAAAGGACTTACGTGTGTCCTTTAAACACAGAGCTCTTGTGGCTGGATAGTTCACTGTATAATAGGCAAATATTTGTCCCTTGGAGCTGCCAGTTCCACTGGAAATCAGGTACTGTATCCTGTGGAAGCCAGAAGTACGCTATGCCATACCGAGAGCAGCTGAACTCCGCGCCATACCGAGAACAGTTTCCTTCCAGATGGTGGGCGTGCTGTCCTCTCCCGATGGGATGGTAGTGTAAGGTCCACTTCCTAATAGTTTATGAATGAAGTACTTCATTTGGGGTTGGAGTTTGGATTATTGCTTCAAAGCATCATTTCCTACATTCTGTGTCCGTATTCATTGGCATTTATTTACATAAAATTTATGTTCTCAAGGATTGTTCACTAAGGGTAATTGTGACCAATTAAAGGGTAGAAAGGTTCGAAATCACTTTGGATTTGGAAATGAGCTGTTCTAAAAAGACCTTTCATAGTCACACAGAGAGCTCATTTGGTCTTGCTGTTGTAAGGGCTGCTTTTGCAGTGTGGCCCCCTCTGCGGGTGGCAGGCCTAGAGATTATTGTGGATGAATGCTGTCACATTCAGTGCTCGATGAATTCTGTGTCCTTTTGCTTATGGATATTTTGTTGTTTGTAAGTATTTCTATATATAGTTTTAAGTTTAAACTATTAACAAGTTTCCTGTGATGAAAAACGAGGATCAGAAACTCATCTTAAGCCATCAGTTTAAAAGCAGGCTTCCTGCCTATTGGACAGAGAAAAATAACTTGGAAAACAAATATTTCTCATTGCTCGTTAGATTCTTATGTTTTTGCTCTCTATAGTTAAATAAGATTTTAATAAAAAATCAAGCAAAATTTTTAGCATGATGATTAAGTATAGTATAATTTATGGTTTTTATCTTATCAAATAAGGGTCTTTGAGGCTTTCTAATAAAATAGGAAATCAAATCTTTTCTTTCTATCAAGAGAGCAGAATTAAGGCCAGGCTCCCATTTTAAGTCTCATATCCATACACTCAGTTTCCTCTGCTGTACAGTGAAGACAGTAATAATTCCATCTTCTTAGGGCACTTAGGGAGATTAAGTAAAGACATGTATGATATGATTTAGCATGTATCAAGTGCTGTGTAAATACTGAATATCCTTTTATTACATATTAAACAGCTCCTAAAGTGCTATATACTATATCAGAAGTTTCCTGTAATAGCAGAATTTTCTACTACTTAAAAAATGCAAGGCCTTTGATACTCTCAACATTTGAAAAGTCATCATATTATAAATTGAGAACCCTGTTTGTATTGTAAGCAAGTAAAGTTCCATTACCTCATTCATCTCCTTATGCATCACTTCTTAAAAGGATAAACAAATAGGTACTTGTGGTATATATCCCCTAGGAAACGCTATAAAAGTCTACACTAATAAAAGCACAGAAGTTTACACAAACAAGCACAAAAGCAGTTTATACTACTATTTCAGTAAACCTGTGGATATCTGCCTGTTTAAAATGAGCAATCTCGTTTTAATAAATTAATATTGTTCTATTTCTTCATTTTTGATAGAGTCCTTATCTAAAGTACCATCTAAACATAAATATTCATGCCATATGTAATATATGAGTTTTTAATGAATTTGTAACTGAGGCCAGGCTACCAGTTTTAAACCTAGTATCTAAATGCCCAGTTTCCTCTGCTGTAAAGTGAAGGTATAATAATTTCATCCTCTTTGGGTACTTAGGAGGGTTAAATAACTTAAAACATATATGATATGTGAAACAGTGCCTGGAATATAGGGAGTGCTATGTAAATACTGTGTACATCTTTTTGTGTGTATGAATAGAGATAATTATGAAATAGATTATTGAAAATACATGTGCTTTCCTATAAATATTGTCATATATAAAGTACTCAAAGAAATTAGGCTCTCATAATAAAAGACCCAAACAAAAAAGGGCAAGTGAAATGAAGAGATGCTGCATAGAAGAAGTATAAATAGCCAGTAAATACATGAAGAAACGCTCACTATCACTGGCCATTAGAGAAATGCAAATTACAACAACTTCTATCTTACACCAGAATGGCCATCATCAAGAAATCAAAGAATAACAAATGCTAGCGAGGTGGTGTGGAAAACAAGAATTCTTCCATGTTGTTGGTGGGAATATAAAGTAATACAGCCACTGTGTAGAGCAGTATTGAAGATTCCTTAATAAAACTAGAAATTCATTTGACCCAGTGTTCCCCTTCTAGATATCTTCCCCAAAGAGTTAAAGACATTGCATTACAGTGATACATAGGTACCCATGTTTACAGCAGCAGAATTCATAATAGCTAAATCCTAGAAGCAACCTATATGTCCTCAGCCGATGAATGGATAAAGAACATGTGGTATTTACACACAGTGGAGCACTGCTCTACCATAAAGATAAACTGGAGTCACTGGTAGGAAAATGGATGCACCTTGCGACCATAATGTTAAGTGACATAAATCAGACACACAGGCTTAAATATCACATGGTCTGTCATATGTGAGAAATTCAAAATATAGACAAAGAGCAAAGAAAAAGATAATAGGAAGTAGGGAGATAGGTCTTTCTCAAATGGGGAGAGGATCAATAAATGGAGGGAGGCGGGGTGAGAGGGAGGGAAAGGGAATGACAAAACTAATTCAGATGTGCTCTGTCCATGGACCAGCTCGCCACAAGGAGTGGAAACCTCATGTACTGCAAACATGTAAAATAAATAAAAATCCATCAATCAGTGTAGGAAATAGGGTAAGTTTTGGCTACTTTGTGAAATAGATATTGCATTTTAAAAACATACTCCTTTTCCTAGGCCACTTAAATTTAGAAATGATAATGAAATCTGCTCTTTTATATGACAGGTGAATAACCCTAAACCTGAATGTATCTTTTGAAGAACTAAGTGTGAGAAAAGGTTAATAATAAACCTTCATGAGCTTTCCATTTATAGCGCTATTTAACTTCTGAAACAGTTCATTTTTAATTAGTTAGCTTAATGTAAAATGGGCCTCAAAATAGCAAATGAGGGAAGGAGTTTAATTTTCTTAATGGTGTTTAGATACAAATAAGTATCCAGCATTTCTAAACTTACAAAGTATGGTATGGGAATTTGTAATAGTTTCTTTTTGTTGTTATTTGTAATAGTATACTATTACAGTATACTATCTATAACGGTGTCAGGGCATTGAAGAATTCTGAATTGCTTGAGACACAGGTCATTAAGTTATGCCAATTTTGTTTCTTCATTAATAGTAATGTGTAAAATTTCTGTTTTGAAAATTACAAATAAGTCAATTGAAACCCACCCCCCCCCTTTTTTTGGTACCAGGAATCAAACTCAGAATCTTGCACTTGCCAGGCAGGCATTTGTGCCGCTGAGCTATATCCCCAGCTCTAGAAGTTCTCATTTTTAATTATCTGATGAATAATCAAAAACTAATGTGAAAATTTTAATTGACAAATTATTTTTCTTTTCTGTTTTCAGTGACTAAAACAAATATACCTGCAAAGAGGATAGGTAGCAAAGTATAATGGAGGGCAAGCTGAGGCTGTTAATAAAGGCAAAATGTTAGGAGAAAATTATACAGAAATTTAAGAAACTGAAATCCATTAAAGAAATACCCCTAGAAGTTCATTTCTGTGGGAAGAAATTCAAGGAGTGTTTTATCCTTGTTTTGCAGGAAAAGTTACCAAAGTCTTGACCAGTTATCAGCAGAAGTTAGCCTTTCTCAGACCTCACTGGATCCAGGCCAGTCACAAGAAGGAGATGGAAAACAGGACACATTGAATTCAATCAGTGAAGGCAAGAGAAACAATCTTTTTGAAAATTCCCTTTTGCTATACTATGTATATTTTGGTTGTAGAGTTTGCTGAAGAGTAATAGTGACATTTCTGTGGATCATGTTAGAAATGAAGCTGCTGTGTTACTGTTAAAAATAATCAGTCCTTGTTTCTTTCTTAAGTGTTTGTTTAACCTTCTCAAAGGGCTAATTTATAATTCCGCTTTCATTTCCTCACTCCCTTACTCAGCATGATTAACCCTGAGCAGACTGCTGACGTCGGTCTTCGGTCTTCATCCAGCTAAATGTTTAGCAGCTCTTGGCACAGCTGACCCTTTCCCCCTCTTGCATCTCGTTCGGTCCCTGGCTGTGGCTCGTTGGGTCCTCAAGAAACCTTAGGAACAAATGCAGTAGTGTCTGTTTTTCTGTGTGTCTTCATCCCTCTCTCTTCCCATCGGAGTGCAGCTCTGCAGACTTCTTGTCCACTGCCGTCGCTTTCCAGGCTGCCTGCAGTGATATGGCCCCATTGTGGTCTCCACACCTCAGACTTCATCCGAAAACGTTAGTAACTGTGTCCCTCTGATTTCCATTGCTGTGATGAAATGCTTGAGATAATCAGCATGTGAAGAGTAAAGGTTGGTTTGGGTTCTGATCTCAAAAGTCTCAGTCCACAGGCACCTGGCTGCATTGCTCCGGGCCTGTGGTGAGGCAAAGAGTCACAGCAGGAGAGGGTGCTGGCTGGAAGCGAACACTGCCCAGGTAGCCTACTTTCCTGCCACTGGGCCCCACCCCCAAATGTTGTGCCAGCTCCACCTCCCAGTAGTTCCACCAGCTGGGGACCAGATCTTCAGAACAGGAGCCTCTTGGGAGGCCTTCAAGATTCAAAGCACACAGCAGTCCAGGTGTTCAAAGCATGTTACTTGCCCTCCCCTAGCTTAGGCTAGAGCTGCCTCCAGCACTTGGGATTTGATGAGTAGTGCTGGTCTGATCTGATGCACACGTCTGTTATCTCTCCTTCCCACTCCTACCTCCTCTTGTATGTGTACCTCAGCGGAACTTGCACCCCGTGCTTCAGGCTCCCTGTCTTCTCCATTGCAGTGAATGGTACCACCAGACATCATCCTGGATTCTGCTTTCTCCTCACAGCTTCAGTGTATGAGGAAGCACTGCCATCTCTCCACACCACACATACTGTTCGTGGCAGCGGCAGTTGTCTTTTCCACTGCTGAGCCCTGATCTCAGACCTCTGCAGCAAGCTCTTGGCAGAACTAGAGCCACAGCTTTTTCACTGGCCTTTCGTCTCCCTTTTTTGCCCCTTCACAGTCTACTGTCTGACAGTAATGAGTAATGTTGTGAAACTCTCTAGCGGCCCTCAGTGGCAGTTAGCAGACAGTCCAGCTGCTTATCATGTGCTCCTGCCTGATCTTGTCCTTGCCCTCTCCTGCACTGTGCAGACACCAGCACGCTGACCTCCTAGTTGTTGCTGCTGCAGCCATCTTTGCATTTGCTTTTCCTGCAGCCTTCAAACTTCTTTCCTCAGGTCTTTGCATATAAGCTGTTTATCAGGTCTCTGTTCAAATAGCCTCTTTCTAAATACGTTTTTGCTGACTGCCAAACTTCTCATAGCTACCTCCCTCAACTCCATCTGCTGCAGGTGCTCCTCCTATCTGTTACCCCCCCCCCCGAAATGCAGCCTTCATGGCAGCAGAGATGGCCTCTACCTTGTCCACCTATGTGTTACTAGAGTCTGATACTCACTAAACAACTACTGTTTGTGGATAACATAAGTATATAATGAATGAGGGTTACAGATGTAAAGAAAAGAAAAATTCAGTTAATCAAGGTGTTCAGGCAATGTCATTATTTGTGTTGAATTTTCTGCTTCCAGTAAGTTGGTTGTTAGAATGTTTTCAAAGGATTTAAGTCTATTTAATACTTTAGTAAATAGAGTAGTTATTACTATTTTAGCTTTTTGGATAGATTTATATGTGTATTTAACAAACTCCTCCATACTATGAGTGGATTTATTTGTAATACCTCTTTATCTAAAAGACATTTACTTAGAATTTGAGCCTAATTTCTTACAAGTATTATAATAATACTTGCTTACTTACAATTCTATTAAATGTACTAGCTTTAAAAATTCAAGTTAATATAACAGATTTAAAGTTATAGAATTTCCATATCCAAATACATAATAAAATGGGTAAGATAAAACTGAAAATTAGCCAAAAACTCACCAACTTGAACCCAACAAGAAAAAGTGCTATACAGTAAATCTAATAGATTAAAAACTGATTATCAGGAAAAAAATAAATATTCTCATCATTAGTTGGTAAGAGTCCTGCTATGCTCAGTATTCTCTAAATTTGGTTAAAATAACAAACAGAGGAATGTTGTATGGTTGCGATAGTAGCAGTGAGGCTATTTGAATCACCACATATTATCAAAGTATAATTAAGAGCCAGTTTTGCTGGGCACGCCTATAGTCCCAATCAGTTGTGAGGCTGAAACAGGAGGATCTGTTGAGCCCAGGAGTTCAAGGCCATTTTGGGTAATATGCAACAGATTGTTTCAACAAAGATAGTATGTACATATATAAAATATTTGTACATATTTTATATACATAGTATGTGCATATTATACATGCATGATATGCACACATATATATGTACATAAAGCAAGAACAGATATAACCACTCAAAACCCAAGATCTGAATACTACTAAAAGATACTGAATACACAGACTTTAAATGACATATGAGTAGAAGAATAAATACCATTTTTCAGCAACCTACTGCAACAAGAGGTCATGAGCAAAGGAGTCCAGGAAAACCTAGGACTCTTTGCACTTTCTGTGCAAAAGAAGAAATTGTTATGTTAGGGCCTCAGATTGAGCAGAAATCATCTCCAGAAAGAAAGTCAAAGATGGTAGAGTGCTAAGCAGCAGAGAAAGAGCCTCCCTGAGTGTTGCCATCCAGATGATAGAATACAGCAACATGGGGAAGACAAGAAGGAGGGAAGTGAGTACCCTGGGCCCAGGAAGGAACTGAGGTGAGAACTGAAGCCCACGGAGAGAGTGAAGAGAGAAAGTTCAAGGAAGAAGAAAGAGGTAGCCAACGATGCCTTCACCCCAAGACAGGAAACACTGCACAAGAGGAGCAATCCAAACCTGCCCATAGAGTGAGTGCTGGTGACCACAAAGGGAGAGATCCAGGGAGAGATGCAGCAGTGGAGGGGAACAGCGGACGTGAAGGACTGCACTAGCTGCTGTGAAGCACTGCATGAGCTGCTGTGAAGCACTGCACTAGCTGCTGGTGAATGCCGAGGGCTCAGTCATCCCATGCAAGAAAGCAATTTGGAAAGAGACCAACAGAGCTTAGAACTCAGCAGCTGCTGGCTACATCTAGTGGCTCCCAGCTAGACTCAGGACCATGGAAGGTATGCTGATCGCTGCCAGCTGCCAGAAGGTGCAGGCTTACTGGCTTTTGGGGATAAATCAACACAGATCAGGACACTGACTCCATACATTGTTTACCAGTGACGGCAGAGACAAACCTGGAGGTGGACTTTTTCCGCCCTTTTCTTTTTCTTTCTTTCTTTTTTTTTTTTTTTGTTGTAGTTTTGCATTTGTTTTGGTTTTTGTTCACTTCTTGTTTTTTGTTTTGTTTTGTTTTGTTTTTGTTTTCAGTTTGGTTTTTTTCTTTGCCTTCCATTGTTTGAACTTGTATTTATATGAGTGTGAACATGAGGTCTAGCCTTTCTGTGGTTGTAGTTCTGTTAAGTTCTTTTTTTATCTCTTCCTGTTCTCCATCCAATCTTCTGCACCAGTTTCCCAAAGTTAGTGTGATCCCCCTTTGTCTTCCAGCCTTCTAATCCCTTTGTCTTCTTCTGCTTTTCCTATTCCATTTTAAATGTTAACCCCTGAGTGAAAATTGACATATTAAGCACTTGTATACTGCATACAATTTTCTGGTTTATTTTAGATTTTGTTGTATAAGCACAAATCTAGTTCATACAGTTAAAGGTGGCAAATTAGTAGTTACTTTAGTTTGTCATTTCCTAGGCTGAGTTTTGTTATTGCTATTGGTACCACTATAGCCAAAGGGACATAACTGTTCTAAACAGCTGTTCTTCCTAGTATTCCAAGAGTGAGACTGACTAAGTAAGGGTCACAGAAAATACTGTGGCACAGTGCCAAAGACCAGGGGCTGAGTCAAACGGGCCCCAACATATTGAAGAGGTAGGAGTTTACAGGAGCCTCAAAACCCAGGTATACCTGGAAGATAACTAGGAGAAGTAGTCATTTCCTAAGGGTTCTAAATACTAGCAAAAAAAGCAACCCACTGTAGGCAATTTACAAACATGACCCCTGGAATTAAACTAAAAAAAGAAAAAAAAACAGAAAGAAAAGAAAGCGAGAAACTTAAACAAGATGCAACCCCAAACATCACCAAATGCAAACCCAGGGACAGTGAGGTGCGACACTCTGAAAACCACCCACCTGGCCTATCTGAAGTGGTAGCAATAAAGCAATTGAATGCAGCACTAGAAAAAATGAAATCAGAAATACTTTCTCAGATAACTGCAGAGATGGTGTCCACAATGAAAACCATGCTTAGTGATTCAAGAGAAGATACACATTTTTAAAAATAGAGGAGCTTAAGAAAATGATGGAAGCCATGAATGCTCAGCATAGGAAAGAAATGGAATCTATAAGGCAGATTCAAGCAGATATCCAGGAGAATAAAAATTCCATTGAAAGTATTCACAGCAGATTAAGCCAATGTCATGACAGGATCTCAGATGTAGAAGATGGGCTTACAGCTAGCGATCGTGAAAAGAAAGATTTCTTCTTTTTTTTCTGTTTTTCCTCCGGTACTGGGAACCGAACTCACAACCTTGCGCTTGCCAGGCAGGCGCTTTTGCCGCTGAGCTAAATCCCCAGCCCCGAAAAGAAAGATTTCTTAAAAATAGCCAGAGACCATGAAAAATCAATACACCAGCTACTGGGTGATGCAAA